GTGGTGGTCGTCGTGGTGGTGGTCGTCGTCGTAGTGGTCGTTGTGGTGGTGGTCGTCGTGGTGGTGGTCGTCGTGGTGGCGGTCGTCGTGGTCGTGGTCGTGGTGGTGGTGGTGGTCGTCGTCGTGCTGGTCGTCGTCGTGGCTGTGGCGGTGGTGCTGGTCTCCTAGAAAAAAGCATTATTTGATATTACGGGGGAAGGGGATTTTCATGTTACGTAGCACTGTATACAGCGAGTGAGTAGCTTGTAATTGGCGTATTTTTGCTGCAATATCTTGATGATTTTAGATCTGTCTTTGCCCAATACTAGTTTCTCCCATCTCTTGCAGGCCCTTCAAGCTCCAGCAGTGAATCTGAAGATTCCCCCAGCGTCGGCAAAGCCTCCGAATCTATGTCCCGGGAGGAAACTTGTCAGTGACGAGACATGACCCGTGCATTTCCATTCTTTGTGCTCTCAGAAGCAACAGCACCTCAGGACGGCCCGGACGCAGGCTCTTGCAAAATGTTGTCCATTCGATACGGACTTTTCTCACAACATCCAGGCAGCTCTGCTTGTTGAGGCCAGAGAGGTGTGGGCTTCCTCGACCCAGACAATCCGCCTGGTGCCATGGGCAGGCATTGCACTCTCCCCCAACAGTTCAAGATAGTTCAAGTATATAACCGTTTGATTGTCTCTGTGATCCTCAGGGTCTGTGCAAAGATGGCTGTCAGTAGCTGAGCTTGCCCGCATGCTGGAGTGATGCAGTGAATTGTAGATATCGACATGGGCCAGCCGAGGCCAGAACGGGCATCCGCTGCTTCAAGTGCTACTTGGAGAGACACAGATGCCAATGCAAAGAAAGCGCCTGATATTTGCCACCGCAGCATCTTAAGTTTGCAAGCTCACATAGCTGTATATGCAGGTGCTGGAGGCATACTTGTCAGGCTGCTTCATTGATAGCACGTAGTTAGATTGCGAAAATATTGAATTTTATTCTGAGCATCAAGAACTATACGGTTCCTTGGCGCTCAGCCGACAAGGGTGGTGTGCTCCCGCAGGGACCTCCATCAGCTCCTTTCACGAAGCCATGTGCTTCGCATGTGATTCTATGCAGATGTGCACACCACCCTTTTGCACATAGATAGGCGTCGATGCAAAGTGCATTGCTTTATGTCCTGGAAGCGGTACATGCTGCTAGCTCATCATCTGGCTAAGCCTGCCGAGTGCAGGAGCTTCGCACAGACGAAGAGAGCCGGCACGGGCTTCCAAAAGGGGCAGATGCTACTTGAGTCCTTGATGAAGGCAATGAAGAGGGCCCAAAGGCTTCTAGAAACCTCGCAGTGAGAGGACTGGCCAGACGCTTCCTGCTTTCATAGCACCTGCCCCTAAGTTACCATGGGGGTTGACTCGCAGTTCCAGCTGCCGACCTATCTAGTCGATCACCATGGTAAAATTCAAGCATACTCAAGCTGTGCTTTGCATTGCTTGGCCAGATGTAGCAGCCAGCAATAGTTAGCAGAGGCGGCATTTAGAAGTGTTCAGTGCCGGCTTGGTCCCAGGCAGCGCGTCTCATCAGAGCCACCTCTGACCGAACACCGGGAAGAGAGCAAAGCATCTCTTGAGGCAAGTTGTGGAACCAAGAGTCTCAGCACACACCAAGCCTTGGCCAGGTAGGCAACCAGAGTGACAAAGATCGCAGACTGGAAGGCCAAAGATCTACGAAGGCATCGGCCTTGGCCCAAAAAATCCAAAAGCAAAAGCTAAGCCTTTGGCAAACAAAAAACTCTTTTCAGGGCTCCTGCGGCTCCTGCGGCTCGGCTCCAGCGTGCTTGCGCTCAGCTGGCTCCAAGCCTTGCTTGGAATTTCTGTCAAGCAGGGCGTTAGTGGTATTGCGACCCAACTTGGACACTTGCAGGTCCCCTTGCACGGGCCACTGAACGGAAAGCAAAAGTAAAGCGGGCTTGCAGAAGTTCTAGAACTGGAGCTAATCCAACTAGAATCCAAGTAGATGAAAGCCATCTGAGAAGTGCTGGCAAGGGTTTTCAAGTTTGCTGCTTGGGGTTGCGAGGAATTAGTGACATACGTAATGGGTGGTCGGCAGAAAGGCGTCATGCAAGAGAGCATTGGACAACATGAAAGTTTCCAGGGCTTTGCTTCAACTACTTCAGATTGTTAGCCTGAAGGTGTCGATGTCAGACCACTGGCTGCAAGCCACATAAGCATCATGCAGGTCTTGCCAAACATCGCCGCACCATCAGAGGCCTCTGTGAGCATTCTTGCTTTGTTTTCATGGAAAGAACCTGCAGTGAAGATATCCAACTTCAAATGTGGTGGCACAAGACAAAGGATTGAACGCACAACAATTTTGCGCAACCCCGACCGTCTTGGCAGGAAGGAGCTTTGGGAGCAAGCTGGGTACGGAAATTTAGCAAGACAACGAACACATTTCGCGTGGCACCATTGCAACAATCGAGTCAGTCCAGATAGCTACATTGCATCAGGTGTTTCATAGTACTTGTAACAGCTGCTCTACGAATGCATCAGCAAAAGATAGTGTAACAGTGGTATGGAGTCCAGCAGGGCATGCATCTCTGCAAGGGCAGCATACGTGGTGCGAGATAAGCACGGCTTCAAGACGTGCATACTTGCAGGTCAAGAAGTTCTGCTCCTCTGGGGCTACGAAACCTGGGCAACACGTGCTTCACCAGCAGTTTATGAATTCGTGAAGCAAGCTTCCTTGGTGATACTCCGAGGTGTTTCCTGAACGCAGCGTTGCAGTCGCTGGCACATGCTCCGGTATTTGCTCAATTCTTTCTTTCAAGGCATTTTGCATAGACAACAAAGGAAAGGGCAGCGAAGTCATGTGTAAACTGCTGTCAGGCATTTTGAGACCGACCTCAACAAGTCCAATCCCCTGGGCACTGGGGGGGACGACCCGGCATGTCAGTGCAATCGCAGCAATGCCAGAGTCACTTCGGCTTGTAACCCTTTCCCAACAATTGTGGTCACATGAACTTGTGACGACTGAACATTTGTTGAGGAATCAGGTTGAGAGGCCTTGAAAAGCATTTGGATTTTGGGACTTCCTCTCGCTCAAGGGGCTTGGCTAATGTCTAGGGATTGAAGCTTGAAACCATTGTTCGGGTCTAGCAGGAAGTCTGTCGGAGAAGGAAAGCCCTCTTTCCATTCATGCTAGGCTTCAAGGTTGCGTGTGCAAGGTTAGGGGGCCTAGACTTTAGGTCAACGTTTCCGGTTCGGCATACCTCCTGGGCTTACTTTGCACTCGACTTTGTATCAAACAGAGATGTCTATGTACTTGCTGCGCAATTCATGCTAGTGTGTTGGAATCAAGCTAGAGGCTACAGGTATCGAATCCTAACACTTTGCGCTGTCTTCTGGAATTCCTGGGGGCACCGCACAGGGAACAAGCAGTTTCCGGCATGCAGAAGCTACACAAATCTCAGCTTAGCTCTAGATTCAGGACAGTTGTGCTTGAAGCTCCCATTGCAGAAAGATCTTTTAGGTTCAGTTTCTCAAGACTTGTCAATTCTTGGGGTCAAACATGCTGCACAACAGAAATCCCAAAAGGTCATATGTCCTTAGGAAAACCCATGATTCAGCAGGACGCGAGGCTTGCTGCATCTTGCTGCCAAAGGTGAGCAACTCTTTTGCTGAGCATCTTTCCAAGGAAGTTGTCGAAGGAAGCGCGTCATGCCTGATAGTAGCCAGCCCACTGCTGGAACTGGGCCGACGGAGTGCTTCACCGATGTGCCATTAGTGTGCCACACTCGGCGAGTGCCGCGCGGAAGTGCTTGGTTGCTTTCGAAGTGGGCAAGGTCAGTTTGGGGTCGGAGCCTGATGCATACGCATTCTGATAGGAGTGCTGCAATATGTACTTGCTTGGAATATGTACTTGCTTGCGCAACTGCGCCGTCGCTAACGGACCACAGGGATAGTGTGGAAACCTCTCATGCGCGCAATTTCAATCAGGTCCTGCAGCCTGTCTGCGTTCAGGCACTTGGCAACACTGCTTGACATAGAACAGCGAAACATCAAATGACAAAGAGCTGTGACCGTTCCAGGTCTATGCTTGGGCTGGTAAACAAGCACACTAACGAGGCTTTACGTTACTCCCCTTCGAATGCTGCTCGGGATCGACTCTGCTAGGTCTTCCGAGCAATAGGTGCTTGCAGAATCGAGGCGCCACTGCAAGGATGCGCGCGTTGCGGAAACTGCACCTCTTGTTTTTTCCTGGAGGTTTCTACGCAACACGTCAGCCATACAAAAGTCCAGATTTGACCCGCAGAACGGCCCCTTTGCCACACCCTGGCAGGGTGGAGTATTTAGTCATTTGCGACGCATTGTGTTCCTGAGAAATGAGCTAGGCTTTGAAGAAGACAAACATCAGTTTTCGGCGACACTCCAGGTAGGCATTTCAGTCACACCAAGGCTGTGTCAGAAGTTCTTCCGCAAAGGGTTTTCTTGCACGTGTCCTATCGTTGTTAGCATGTCGACAAGAAGCCCTTGCCGCTTGCCAGGAAGTTGCGTCAGCATTTGCGCAGCTCCTCCACAGCCTCTTCCCGGAAGGCAGGGTGTGGAAGATCTTGCCGTCATTGACATCATTACGTGGCTTTGCTCCAGGAGAGGGAAAAGAGAAGTCTCAAAGTGCCATGGCTTTCTCTCCTGAGGCAAGCCTGAGTTCCTGACCGTTTTGCAATTTCTGCCATTCTAAACCAATAAACTCAGGGCTGAGACTTTGGCAGGATTTCTACAGGACCCTTTGCAAGCGCGGGAGCTGAGAGAGCTTGAGCATGCTTGAGTGGCTTTGGGTTCTTCTCTGACCTCACTGCTCCGAGGCACTGTGTGCTGGTAGCTGAGCAGCTGCGCACCCAGATGTCTTTTTCAGCTTCTACAAATGCACAGATGCGCAGAATCGGAATCCTTCAGCTTTTTAGGGTATAGGTAGAGGATGGTTGTGGGACAGACGGTTGCCAAAGCCCTTTCTGTGGACTTCTTCCAGTCTGGCCATGTGCAGGCCCGGTGTACAGCATGATGCTCAAGAGGCCGATGCCAGTGCTTAGCTTTCGGGTTTCGTGCTGCAGTTTGAATTCATTGAAATGCAGGTCATGGCGTTTCTTCTTGATGCCATACACGAGGACCCTGCATCAACATCACCTTTGCCCCAATGCCAGCAGCAGCCCCTTCTAGTTATGTGTGAGTGGAAGAAGGTAGTGACTCTACCTGACACATTTCATCCATGGATGGACGTCAAAACAAGCTGGCCCCTGCACTTTCGCTGTGGTTGCGGCTTGCGAGGACTTGAATCGCAACCGTCAACCAACAGACTTCAAGGGGAAGGCGCCAGGGAAAGTGTTCTCTGGCAATTGGCAGAATCCGTGACTGCGCTAGCTTGTAGTCTGTGGTCGTGCCGCGCAGAGGTTTCGCAAAATTTGGGCGGCCATCATGTCCCCTGCGAAGAGACTTTGGCTGCCAAGGCCACGAGAGAAGTCCAGCTTTGAGCGCTGAACTCGTCATTTTGGGAACAAGTCTTTGCAAGGCGTGGTTCGTCCACCTTCAGCAGCACCGCTCGCTAGTCATCGACCTTTGCCAGGGTCAGCTACGCTCACAGGTGGCTGCAAACAAACCGGGCTGCCTGCCAGATGTGTCACGGTCTTGCCAAGCGCAGGTTCAATGCTGTGTCTGTGGCTGCGCCTCCACCACCTTTGTGCCTCGTAAGCAAGATGGTTTTCAGTGTCCAGACCTGCTTTGACTTCTTGGAGAGTGCTCAGGACCCTTTTCTCTTCTTGTCTTTGCCCATGCCGAAGCACCTCTCACGTGCCGCCTGCCATTGGACACAGCTCCTACATTTCAGAGTCCTTTTGGCTATTTGGCAGGTGGCAGAAAGGCAAACATTGAGGTGCCCCGACCTGAAAGAGAGAAGGTCGAAGAACTTCATCGCTACTTTGCGGAGTGCTTCTCCTGTTGTGATCAGCTTGGTGCTTCTTTGCTGTCTGCCACTTGTCCCTTGATGGTGTTGTAGCATGTTGTAGCTGTTGTGGCCGAGTTTTTCTACACTTGTCAGCCTTTATCGGCTTGCTGCATGCCGTGTCGTCATCGCCGTCAGCGGCGTCGGTGTTGTTGTTGCTGGTGGTGCTTCTTGTTGCCATTCAGTCTGCGGAAGTTGCAAGCTGGTCCTCGAGCTGTGATTTTTAACAACTTTGCTCGAGGAGGCCCTCAAGGCCTTCTGCGTCGAGGAGAAGCTCGGTGGGGAAGACTGCTGGGGCTGCCCGAGGTGACCGCCCCAAGATTCACCGAGCTGCTTTGGCAAGACATTTTTTAGATGACAAGCGCTTTAGTAAGACCAAACTGTGAGGTGTGAAAGGCGTGTGCACGCATCAAAGAGGCTATCATTGTGGTCTTGCTCTGAGTCATCCACGTTGCCATTAACGTTGCCATTGCATTGTTTTAGGAGCGCTTGCTCAGTCAACGAAGCATGCGCTGCATGGCCAAAATCACCATGGCTCCGAGTAGATGAGAACAGACATGCTGCCCCACAGCATGCGGCACCTGACATCATGAAACAAGCTAACGCTTGACACTTTACACCAACACATGGGGATATGATCGCGAAGCGTTTCGACCTTCAGCATTGATGCTGGACTGCTGCGGAGCTTTGTTATGTGGATTGGAAGTGCTTGCCCCAGCAGGGTGTATGGTGACATACGATCCATTCAGCTGGAGCATTCCAACGAAGGTACAGTTGGCATCCTCTTACGGATTCTGCTTTACTTTGCGGGAAGCTCAGGCAGCCACCAGCAGACTCAGGAAAGACCTTGCAGCCTATCCTGCAGACGAATATCCTTCTTCGGATGTAAATCTTGTGCAGGTTATGTGCGTGTCGTCAAAATCAAAGCAATCAGGATGTTGGCGTTGCTTCCACCCTGCAGATCTCTCAGGCAAATGCTTCGCAGATGCTAGAAGAGCACTTGGAAGTCAACAGCCCAATCACATCTCACATTAGGCCGGAAAGCTTGGACGGTAAGAGCCTGCTAGATTCTAGATGATATGCTGAGCGTTGTCAGGTTGAAAGAAGGCCTCTTCTTCCTCAACAACGGGATCTCACCCTATGCCGGAGACACCTGCTTGGACCTCATAGGAGAATTCTAAGCCTGGCGGCACGGGCCGGCTGTCCCACGGCTATAGGCTGTCTTGACAGTAGTGGCATCATTGGCAAGAGAAGTAAGTGAAGGCAACCTTTCAATGCTGCTGCCGCGTGACGCTCAATCCTTGCCCGCCGCGTGCACGCGCTCGCAAACTCCGCATCATCAGCAGAGTTGAGATGCATTGTGACACAAATCCACGGCTATGCGTAGGTTACCTCTCCGACATCTGAAAACGCTCCACAATCACACTTAAATGTTTAAGATGGACGAAGCATTCAAGCTTTATTCAACCCGTTGTTGCCTGATAGGAGCCACATGCCCTGTAGCGTGTGCCCCCCCCAAAGCGGCCCCAACACCCTCCAGGCTACAGGGTGCCTCCAGAGCCAGCGCAAAACGTGCTCTGGCTGGCACAACGAATTTCGCGAAGTCCCTGACCCAGATCCCCGCACATTCAGACGGGAACTTTGCATTCGGGAACGCTTTCAGAAAACCTTCCACAAGCATCCAAGAGGCCTCACACGGCACACGTCAGCACCGCAACGGGGGCGGGTTTAGAAATGGAACTCCAACGATACTCATGATATCTCACGATGCTACAGCAGCAGCATGATTTCTTGGCTCATTTCTCCATGGCCGGGCGTTCCTGTACCCCAAGATCCTTGAAGAATGAGTTCGTGTGGTCGGGGGAAGCTTCATCGGCCACAATGACAGCCAGAATTGTCTCTGCCAGTGTGCGCAAAGAACCTGTTTCAGCATGGGCGCAGCATGCCCAGGGGTAGATTCACCTACATGAGTGCAGAGCTCTGAACAGGGCTAGGCCCAGGAGTCACGCCTGTGCTGGAAGTATGGCAGAGGCTGCAACAGCGCGCGTAAACCTCAACCCCAGACACTTCTCGTGCACGGCTTTGGCCAACTTTCCAGGGCGTGCAAAGAGAATTGCAGCAAAGACGGTCGCGAGCTAAAGTGTCGATGCTTGTCCAACCTCCTCTAGGGCCCAGGCGAAGCAACCACACTGCGAGTGTTACCATGACTTCTTACACTGACTGCAGCCTGCAGCGGTGCAGGGAAGTTGCCTCCAGCAGATTCCCCTTGTCAGCTTGCGACAGCATTGCCTCAATTTTGGTTCGGCCCAGCCAACCCTCGCTGCCTCCAAGACGGACCCATCCAGGACCCAGGAAAACCCGGTCATCCCATTCTTGGTTGCTGTAGGGAGAGGGAGGGGAGGGGCTCCTCTGACCACCCAAAAGGCCCCCAGACGTCGGTGGACTGGTTAACGAACCTGCGATATCTTGCAACTAATTTGCACGAGGTCATCATCCTCCGCTCCTCCTTTTCTTGCTTCAGCAGCTGGAGCAGGCCCACTTCTTTTGCGCAAGTGCAAGGGCAGCGGCGCCACATGCAGATCTCTCCTTGGGCACACTTTGGTTTCCTAGTCTCGATCGACGTAGCCTCGCCCTCGTCCCCTCCTTGTTCTCGAGACTTTACACTTGGAGCTGTTTCGAGGTCACGGCGCTGCTTTTGCGGCAGCTCGCTGTTTGCTACCACCTGGCCCGGCGGCAAGCTGGGAGCCCTTGGGCAGATGCGCCGCAGGACCTACAAAATCTATTTGCTGCCTCTCTTGGTGTGCCCCTTGCACTTGTTGAGATTAAGGTCATCCCCCCTGGTCGCCAGCACCAAGCTTCCTGCAATCCAAGTTGCTGAGGGCATCGAGGATGCCACGAAGCTACGCTTTAGTGCTTTCCGAAATCCTTGTGCCAGGATGTCATGAGTCCGGCATTCGTTGGCTAGGACCTGAGGTGCTTGTTGCAGGTGAGTTTTTCCCGCGTTTGAAGCGGAGGGCTCTTCTACCTCTTGAATCCGTTGACAGTTGCAAGCTGCCTGGATCACAGCTGGATTCTACTTTCGCTTGGCGTTCCTTCAACCTTTCTATCAGCCTGAATGTCATTGGCAATGCTGTGAGGTGTAGCCTTGTCCGTGCAGAACTTGCAACACCTCTTCTTCGTTTTCTCAATCGTAGCTGCTGCGGCCCTATCCTCAGGTTGCCACCTAAGGTTGAGACATGCTGCAGGGTCCTGGACAGACGTCCCTTTTCGCTCAGTCTTGCCGACTGGATCGAACTTTTGATCTTCATGCTGGTTGGGATCACCCATTCCTGTGGCACCAGCAGAACACTTTGCACACTGTGCATTGTCGGTACCCGCGGGTGCGTCCTTGGCCGTTTCATGTTTCCAGTTGATTAATCGATCGCATGAAGTTCGCCGGCAAGACACGAAGACAATTGGACTTGCTTTCAAACACAATGAAACTGACATTTTTTCTGTTGGCTGCCAATGCGAGATGTCCAGTGTCCAAAGCACCTGCATGGCAGGGAGCCCAACGCCAAGTTCTGATTTGATTTGAGGACACCCTGCCACGCATCGCAGTCCTCAGCATTTGCGGGTGGCAGGCGAAGGGCTGTCCAACATCGCGTTGCATGCCGTCATGTTGCTTGCACAAGGGGCGGACGCGAGTTTGTTTGTGAGCCAGAAACAGACGTTTCTCGGAAACCTTTCGAATCTTTGCTATTTGGTCAGAGAGTAACCTTTCTGGGA